ACCTTCCTCAAATTAGGCTGGAGTAAAGACAGGAAGTTGCCTCTTCTAAACTTTAGAAATAGTCTTAAATTTGTAAACTTAAGATATTGCACCCCTATCTTATAAGTAACATTTATATAATCTAAAATAAACAGTCCTTCTGAAGCTGCTCTGTAATTGACATCTGACACAATCCACATTGCAACAAATATGCTAAGTGCAGTAAACAGTAGGAATTATGCTGCCTTATGCTCCAAGAAACATACATATTTCCTTAAACATATAAACTTTATTTTGTTGCTATGCAACCATGAAGCAACACAGCCCGTTCTGTGGTAAATAAGAATAATAATTTTACAATAGAAGGGCAGTATTTGGCCTTTTGGGTTTTTGGGTTTTTTTACCACCTCCCTCCCCCCCAACACACACACTTTGTGTTCTAAGCCAAACATGAACTCATGTTGTATTATTCACAGATTCACAGAAGTTTAGGGCTGGAAGGGACCTTGTGAGATCATCAGGTCCAGCCCTCCTGCTCTTCTGTCATTTTATTCTAAGGCTTTTTTACAAACTCTCAAGCTTTTGGTAAAAATGTTCCTGCAAGTGAAGTGCCATGACAGGGATCCAAGCAGGACATCAGTGGAGTCAAGAGATCAAGTGTATGTGTCCTATTAACAAAGATGGGAAATAAATAGCTAAGGGCCTGAATTTATACCACATCAATGGTAAACTCCCCTGAAATTGTCAGTGGCACCAGGCACCAGAAAATGGGGCTAAGATATCAACTTTTATATGTCACTTCAAGAAATTACTCCTATTCTTGTAGGGCAGGATTTTAAAAGGTGTTCTGCACCAACTAGTCTCTGCTTCTTTTGACACTATCACTGACTTCACTGGAAGCAGAGATCAGCCAACACAGACCCCTTATAAAAATCCTACCTCTGCTGTTCTGCATTCACTTGGAAACCAAGGACACCAACAGCCACCATGATTTTATCAAGGGTGTGACTTTAGATTCTTACTTTTTTTCTCTCTAATGCAGGGGTAAACAACCCCAGCACACATGCCACAGTGTGGCACACAAAGGCATTTTGCTTGGCACACATGCTTCAAGGAAGGGGCCAAGGCTGCGCTGCCACAAGAATCAGACCCCTTACTGCTCCCCCATCATCCTCCCCTGGCACACCATGATCTTACAAGTCAAGGGTGTGGGCTTTTTTGGCACTCTGCCCAAAAACATTGCTGACTCCTGCTGTATGGACTTGACAAGGCATTTCTCCCTGCACAGCCTATCCCCTTATTCTTCACATAGGCAAGATTCCCATTGTACTAGATAAAAATTTCATTCTCCCAAGGAACTGGTCCACATCTCATTTTTCCTTATTCCACACAGAGTGATTACTATGTCTTTAGCTGCTTTGGGATCAACAGACTGTTGCAACTTGGGCACATATTTCCATGCAGGAGGGGTGGCTCCAGATTCTTGATTCAGTCCATGACACTGTTTCTGCTGCTCCTGCTTTTCCATCTCCTGTTTTCATAATCAGGTTCCAAAGTACTGAGATCCTTGCAGGAGACTCTTCCTCCATTTGGGGAAGTCCTGGGTATAATCTCCCATGAGTTGTTGTCGATGTTGCATTTTTTCAAGTTGGTCGTGAGGACATCCTTGAAGCACTTTCTCTGCCCTCCACTTAAGCGTATGCCTTGACTGAACTGGGAGAATAAAACTTGCTTTGGGAGTGGAGTTGGACATCTGGATGATATGGCTGGGCCAGTGAAGTTGATGTTGGATGAACATTGTCTCTATGGCTCATGGCATTTGCGTGCAAAAGGACACTAATGTTGGTGCATATGTCTTCCCACTGGATTTGAAGGATCTTCCACAGGCAGCATTGATGGTACATCTTCAACAACTTGAGGTGTCTCCTGTGTGTTGTCCATGTCACAGCTCCATACAGGAAGCTGGGGATCACAACTGCTTGATAAACCATGAGTTTGGTTTTAGATCTGATGTCGTTATCTTCAAATACTCATTTCCTCAGGCATCCGAAGGCTACACTTGCACATTTGAAGTGATGTTGGATTTCTCCATTGATGTCAGCCTTCCAGAAGAGATGGCTTCTTAGGTATGGGAAATAATATTCTCCAGAGTCTCACCATGAATCTAAACTGGGGACTGCTCATTAAGAGCTTGTTGATGAAGGACCTTAGTCTTCTGAATATTAAGCATCAGTCCCATTTTTCTTGTATGCCTCAGTAAAGATGTCAACAATTGCCAATGTTCTGCTTCTGAGTAAGCACACACTACAGCATCATCAGTGTAGTGGAGCTAGATGACTGAGGTTGGGGCTGTCTTGGTTTTGGCTCTGAATAAGATGATATTACAACAGTTTACCACCCATTCAGTAGTTTGGCTCCACTCCAACTGGAAGCTTGCTGGTGGCCAGATGTAGCATCATAGTAAGAAATATTAAGAAGAGTGTTGGAGCGATGATTCAGACTTGCTTAACTCCCATCTTAACCTCAAATAGATCTGTGATAGATCCATTTTGGAGAACCACTGCTTACATGCCCTCATGAAGCTGGCAAAGAATGGGTCATGGCAGCCCTAAATTGACACTGAGACCTAAACCACACCTCTTGATGCCCTAAACCCACACCGAGATTCCAAAATGAGCTTTTCATCAAGTAGAAGGAAACAGTTAAGGAGGGTTCTTGCAATGATCTTCTCTGTTGTGGATAGCAAGGCGATCCCTCTGTAATTTCCAGAGTCAGACTTGTCTCCTTTCTTGAAGATTGTCATGATCATGGCTTCCATGAGGTCATCTGGGATTTCCCCATCATTCCAAATCCTTAAGATGAGGATGTAGAGCTGTGATGTGAGCTCCTCTCTCCCCTGCTTGAATATTTCAGTGGGGATTCCATGAGCTCAAGACACCTTATTATTCTTCTTCTGCTTTATGGCTTTCCTCACCTTGTTAAGGGCTGGAGAGATTCCAAGATCATCTCTGACTGGGTATTGTGGGACGGAGTTGAGAAAACTTTCATTAACAACAGAGCCTCAATTGAGAAGGTCTTCAAAATGTTCCTTCCAAGAGGCATTGATGTCTCCCCTTTACTTAATCAGGTCTCTTCTATCCTTAGGTCTCAAAGAGGGTGGACCCTCAGTGCTCAGGCTAAAGATGGCTTTGGTGGCCTTGACAAAACTGTACATATCGTGGATTTCAGCAAGATAGTGACTATCCTTCACCTCGTCTTCCCACCATCTATTCTTCATAGCATGGGTCTTCCTTTGGACTTCTACCTTGGCTTGTGGGAGATTTTTTTTTTGCCTGAAGTTTATGTAATTCTGCCAAACATTTTCGATTGATCAACTTTTGGATCTCCTGGTTATTCTCATCAAACCAGTCTTGATGTTTCCTGGTAGAGAACACAACTGTCTTTTCACAGGTGCCAATGCCAGAGGTCTTGAAGGCACCCTAAGTGCTACCAACATCATCCATTGTTGTTGATTGGAATTTGCCAGTTTTTCATTGAGGTACTGGTAGGTCTCCCACTGATGGATGAGGTCTCACTTGAGTCCTTCAACATTAAACTTCTATCAGTATTGTATCTGCAGCAGTCATCATTTGGGAGAGCAGGTGAGTTGGTGATCAGTGCAGCAGTTGTCAGCTCATAGCATAGCTTGGGTAATGTGGGCATCTTTGCAATCCTGGACATGAACAATGTTGTAGTTAATCAGATGCCAGTGACTAGATCACAGGTGTTCCCGTGATGTCTTGTGCCTGTTTTTCTAGAGGAACAGGGTGTTGGTGATGGTGAGGTATTGTAAGACTACAAGCTACAAATCCTTCAAACAGTTCTTACTGCAGTTGAAATACTCATGGAAGTAAAGCTTTACAAAGTCAAGTCATGAAAAACTAGGGCCCTCACATACCAATTTCACTGAAAGCATTGGGATTTTATATTTGAATAGGGACTGCTTGCATGAGGAGGAGGTATAAGAACTGACCTTTTAAGGCCCACTGAAGTTGATGGAAAACTTCCCAAGCATTTCACAGGCCTTTGTATGATGGCCTCCAAGTGTCAAATGCTACCTACATGAGAAGCCTTGCTGGTTTTGATAGGAATTGGTAAGTACAATAGAATTTATATGATATTACTTACAGTCCAGTTTGAAATATGATGGCCAGAGAGGAGAGATGTGATATTATCCAAGGACTGTTTTCTGATCTGCCTGAGTGTTAAAAATTCCCCTTAAAGACCTCCACTAAAAGAAAGACTTGTTGTTCCTAATGTTATTGAAGGAGAAATAAAGTGGGAAAAATATCCCTTCTGGGCCTCCTTACTTTATCATGAAGGGAAAAGAAGGGCCCAAATTCAATTTAACTTACATCCTAAAC